TAGACTCAGATAGACTCAGGTAGACTCAGGTAGACTCAGAAAGCCTAATGAGATAAAATACACTGAGGACTGACAGCTGTAGTGTAACAGAATCTAACCTGGTAGTCTGACAGGACTCTGGATATTCATAATAAATAAACATATAATGTAAATCTGAATATCACACACACACACACACACACACACACACACACACACACACACACACAGTCACCTGATCAAGTCTCTCCAGTTTGAGGCGACATCTCCTGAGAGGAAGCTGCTGACTGCTGGAGGATTCTACAGACAGAAATACAGACACATGATGTTTAAAAGGGAAATAAATGAACAGTTTGAATGTTTAAACGTTCTCTTGAACGTCAGCTTGAATGTTAGTTGGATCGTGTACTTCATGTAAACAATAATGAGGTCACATCAATACAAAGGGAAAAAACACAAAGGGACATATAACGACCACAAAGAAGCAAAATGACTGCAAAGAAAGGCAATATAACAAAAAGAGACAAACAAAGACACACAAAATGGCCGCTGAGATGCAAAACTACCACACAGACACAGAAGGATTGCAAAAAGACCCAGAACAACCACAGAGACAGAAAACAACCGCACATTCAGAGACGCAAAACGGCTTCAAGGAGACACAAAGAAACCTGCAAAGAGACACTAAAGTTTATTAATGGACAAACAAACCGGCTCATCTGAAGCGAAGGTGGGAGGTTTTCCCTTTTGTTCTGACAGCGATGCACATATGGAGACAGACCTCAGGACCCCTCTCACACACAGAGACGAAACGATGCTGCACACCTCCTCCACCAATCGTAGGCCAGACCTCCCGCCTGCCTCCCTTCCTCCTCCGACAGGCAGCCAACCACCCGCCATCTGTCTCTCTGCTTGTCCCCTCGTCTGTCTCCATCAGAGCTTCATTGACACCTCGCAGGCAGCCTAAAGCTCGCCATCTTATCGGGAACGTGTCTCAACACAACACGCATTATTATCATAATGTATGATATCCTGACTTTTTAATTTGAATATGAGCTGTTTAAATTACCACCAGACAACCTGAGGAACTGGAAAAATAAGTCAAATGATGTGTAAAATATTTTTTTGAGGATAAGAAGCAAACAGAAAACTGGTTTTATATCGTTTGAGCTTCAACTGAAGCTCTTTAAAACTCCTTCAGTGGAATCAACCATCATATTAAATTGACGTTGACACAACAGGAGTGTTATTATTATATGTTGTTATTGTAATATTTTCTGTTATTGAGAACGATGGATACGTACCGGGGTTTGTATCAGCGATGATGCCGTCGCTCTCTGGTGGGGAGGAAACACGTGTCGGCTCTGTTTTGGCTGGAGACACTCGCACCTGCAGACATAACATAATCATAATCATAATGGTTCGATAAGAGTGTGTGAGTGTGTGTCATGACCTCAGTGACACAGATGACTGACATTACATAAGGTGGTTATGAAACATCAAGAAGACTTAAGGAGCGAGTCCTGAGGAATATATATTCTCCTCAAATGCTCCTCGTGTATCTGGGAACTTAACTTATTCATGCTCGTATCAAAATCAATAAACAGTTTTACTTCTTTTAATACTTTTGTTTGTGACCAAATACCTGCAGAACTAATGACATTTCCACCAGCCTCAGTTCTGCTTTGTGTTTATAGATAATTAGCAAATGTTAGCATGCATGCTAAGAAAGTAAACAACAGAGAATGATTGAGAATAATGTGACTTAGAAAGTTAATCCCAGTTGACCCGCTGTGTGGTTCAAGTCCTGGTTTGTCGTTCAGGACTTGAACCAGTAGAGCTTCTGTCCTGGTGCACTGGAGCTCACACCTGGCTGACGTTGACCGCTGGCAGAGTCTCACAGGCCGGGTTTCTGTTGGAGGTGATCTTGGTGACCACGACCGGCTGCAGAGGCACGGGGGCCCTCGTCTGGGGCCCACCTCCACCTCCGGACCCCTGCAGGGAGACGGGGCTGTGAGGCCCGCTGCTGGAGCTGGAGGACGACCTCCGCCTGATGAAGGCAATCTCCACCGTGGGGTCCGGTCTACAGGACGCAGCACAGGTGGGGAGCATTTTTAAACATTTAGAACGTCCACATTAACTGTAATGTCTTCTTACAAAAAACAAAAGTAATGGTAGCTTTTGATTCCCTTCAATTAAGACTACATTTCCCATCAACCCTTTCTGTCACAAATACATCACAGACACAACAAAGAAAATAAAAGACAACAAAACTAAAATGTTTAAATGTATTCATATTTTCAAAAGAAAATTCAACTTGTATTGTTCGGACTAAACTTTACAGCCAACATGTTTATGTTGGAGTAAACTAGATTAAAACAAATAAAAGGATCTTTTTAGGTGACCCAGTGAAGTGTGATAGGTGTTTTGTTGACTTTACTTCACACACAAACTTAATGGTTGATTTATAAATAGCTGTTGTCACATATATTCTCGTTGTTAGACTCCCGTGTTCTCGTTTCTTCTGTATCTTGAATAAGTGATGCCTTTGAAAGAGTCTGCGGGTGTGTTGGACCTGAGTTTGGTGCGGGTCAGGATGCTCCGGGCCTCCTCGTACGTCACTCCGATCAGAGACTCTTTGTTGATGGACACCAGCTGGTCTCCGACCTGCAGCCGGCCGTCCTGAAGCAGCACAAATACACAGACACATTCACATCCTGCGAGCCACTGAGATTCATGTAAATAGTCCATGTATTTAGGTAACATTTGGGTTTCTATGGTGCACATTATGGCTTTTTAGTAAAAGTTTAGAATCTGCAGTTTGGAATCTGCTTTGACCCAAATGTACATTGAATTACAATAATGAATAAGCTTGATGACATAAAAGCAGATATGAACCTTTCAAGATGAAGGCTGGACGGACATTGGAAAACCAAATAAATATAATTTGGATTTTTTAAGCTGGAAAAAGACTTTCAGTATTTTACATCTGAGAAATAAATAATAACCAACTTTGTGGAGGTTTAACATATAACTGTTCGTCATCTGCATAACAGTGGTGGTGAATTTCATGTTTGCAAGTAAAAAATATGTCAAGCGAAATAATAAGTGGTCCCAGAACAGAGCCGAGGGGAACTCCACAGTTTATAGAGGCCACTGAGAAGGAAGCAGAGCTACTGTCATGCAGAATTTATATTCTTCAGTCTGGTTCATAAGTTGTTCTTATAAATGATCCTCATCGAAGCTGTTTACATTGTCGTATGTGTACTTTTTAAACTTGCACCCCGTTGTTAACCAGTTTATATTTATTGTATCGTTGACATTTGATAGGATTAATTGACAGAATTGATATTTTATTGTTTATGTTTTGTTTATTTGCACTCTTTCCCACTTTGTAATGCCACTGCAACAATTTCCCTTGAATAAAATAATATTTTTAGATATTTCATTGTCATATATTTCCTTGTTATGCTGCAAGAACAGTTTTTTTAATGTTGGTTTTTAAGCCCTAATAAGGACTTTATTGTTTCATTTTGGATATTAATATTGTAGATATAGATAATCCCAAAATCCAAATGAATGAAACAACTAAACTGCGTTCTCATTTATATTTCGATGCAACATACGTTCTCCTGGATCACAGCTCTTGTTTTAAACGGTTAATCAAAACAAAACTACGCGGTTATGTTTAATAAGAAAACATCATGGATTGGCTTAAAATAAGAAAGTTAATACAAGTCACGTCAATTTTATTTGACATGAACAGCGGTCTCCTGTGTGAGAGTCCTGTGTGTTTGACTCGTCCAATCACTGTGGGTGTACTTATGACACGTTGATTACAACGTCAAAAACAAAACAATAATTCAGTTTAATTGTATTGTCTCGCTGACCTTCTGGGAGTCTCCTCCAGCCATTAGTTCCTGAATGAACACCATTGGTCCTTCTGCACGGTTGGCTCCTCCCTTGATGACGAGGCCCAGGCCCTTACCCTTGGCAACGCAAATCAACTGAATGCCGCTGTCACTGTGGAGAGAGAGAGAGAGAGAGAGAGAGAGAGAGAGAGAGAGAGAGAGAGAGAAAGAGAGAAAGAGAGAGAGAGAGAGAGAGAGAGAGAGAGAGAAAGACAGAGAGAGACAGAGAGACAGAGATACAGAGAGAGAGAGAGAGAGACAGAGAGAGAGAGAGAATACAATGTCAGTTAATTGATAAAAATAAGCCTTTTTAAGGGTTAACTAATAAACTATAGTCATACTACATCCTGCTGCTTCAGCCAACGTTTGAGGTTTTACAGAGAAGAAGAAGAAGTTATTTCTGTGACTGGTTCCTACCTGAAGGCCTGCGTGGGCGTGTGCATGCTTTGGGGGGGGTTGTTGTGGGAGTAGGCTGTGACCCCCTCTTTAGGACTCAGAAGCTGGGGGCTCTCAGACCGGGAGGAGGAGGAGGAGGAGGCCGTGTCTGTCAGCTTCACTGAGCACAGAGGAGAGAAGAAGAAGAAAGAAAGGAGAGGTGAGCAGGGAGAGGTGGAGAGTGGAGGATGAAGGGAGGAAGAGGTGGAGAGTGGAGGGAGGAGGTGGAGGATGAAGGGAGAGAGATGGGAGAGAGATGGGAGGGAGATGGGAGGGAGAAGGTGGAGAGGGATGGATGATGGGAAAGAGATGGGAGGGAGATGGAGGGAGGAGGTGGAGAGTGGAGAGGTCAGAATCAGGTTCAGGATCAGGTTCAGGATCAGGTCTCATAAAGCCATAATGACGTCACTGAGTGTAAAAGAGTAAACGTGTGTTGTACCTGAGGAGAGCTGAGTCGGAGAGATTCTTCCTGAAGATGAGATGTTGTTGGAGCCGTACTTCTCCATCAGCTCAGCAAACTCCCTCCTGACACACACACACACACACACACGCACACACAGACGCACACACACAGTTTTGTTTGTTTATAATAATAATCTATATTAAAATTTGACAACAAAATTACTTTTTACTTGAATAGAAGTAATAAAAGTATCACAGTACTCCATTTTAACTGTAGCAGGTAAATATATAAACATGATTTTGCAATAAAAGTACTTAGTAATATTCTCTATACATCAGCCTAACGAATGAAAGAGGCTGAATGTGCAGAATAAATTAGCATCACGTAGTTTCTTCATTAACTGATTGTAAAACTGACAACTTCTTCACTATCAGAGCTTTTATTTTGAAAACCTTTTCTTTGACCAAGCTTTAATGTGGAAGCAGAGCATGTTTACTTTTTACGGGTCTGAGGAGAGCAGATCTGTGAGTGTTTGTCTCCCTCACATGGACGCAGAGGAAACCTGTCATCACCCATCAGACCTGTTAATGTTTAATGTTAAATCATACCTGTTAATGTTTAATGTT